GACCTTACTGTGTCAATTCAAAATGTACCAACGTGAACTGAAACACATTTGTAGAAAAGTCTACAATGCTCATGGTTGATTGACTTGATAGTAATCATTTAAAACTACATATTAACGACATAAAAAGTGTCAAATCTTTGTATTGTATCAGTAGAGTAAATAAAATCATCTAAGCAACAGAAGGACATAATACCCACTTGTATTTATAGAATAAACTTTTTTGATCTACACGAATACGGAAAGTGTCAAGACAAAAAAGCAGTTCAGCACATATTTACACATACATATACAAGCTGATACACTTAACAGTATGACAATGTTTAAATTTATAACTGGTCATATATGAATAAAGAACTGTTAGTAAACAAATAAATATGTTCAGAAGGGGTTTTGTGCAGATTTTAGTAATTTCAGTAGTTGAAATCATGAGTCAATTGAAGCTAGACCATCATATGGAAGTTCATTCATTGCATTTATCTAATTTACCATTTTTTTCTACTTTCATTTCATTTAATAAAGTGTGTAAAAACGAAACTACTTATGCATTTATACCTAAAATTCACTTATTTTTGACTAAATAAGTTATCATTATAAAAAATGTTCTAATATGTTCTATTCCTAAAATAAATGAATAATTATTAACAGCTGATTTCACAAGTCGATCTAACCTAAACTACCATTGAAAACCTGGAAGCATTGGACGGCCGTTTCGTCCTCAGCAGTTTCCAATGGTGGTCTAGCTTGGATTGATTCGTGAATTCAACTGTTAATAATATTATAATCTGCACAAATCCTCTCAATGAGAATAATTATTATTTGATTATCAATTGAATGATGTCTATTTTCAAAATAAATAAAACAAACATACCTTTAATAGGAGGTGATAACATTGAAATAATATGTTCTTTAGATATTAATGGAAATATATTTAGTATTGCAACATCTTGACATAAATTTGTATGAATACAAAATGGTTTATGTAATCCAGGTTTTCGAAAAATTAAATCATAATTAACGGTTATTTCAGTTCCTAATTCAGCAATCGGTGGATAATTTGGTGACACAAATGCATCAAAATTATTACTTGAACATTTTACTATTCTAGAGCCACGAAATAACTAAATTAATAGGAAAATAAGTCAATTAAAAATCAATAAAAAAGAAAATAATATATAAACAATACAGAAAAATCTGTCATAGGATGTTTCCATAGTTATTATCAAATTAATTAACAATAGGCTTCGTGAATTATTTATAAAATTTTTAATTCATATCATGATCTAAGGCTTAAACAATGAATGAAGTTTATTAATCAAATAATTCTGAATAGTTGCTAATTCTATGAAATCAACGTAACAACTAAAAGTATGTTTACTTTATTAAGCGACGAAAGAAAATTATGGAATTCGAAAAAAATTGAGGGGTCAATTAATTTTCTTTGTTTATTTATTAGATATGATTCATGGAATTTTTAAATAACCCCGTTTGTAAGCTATCTTTTGATTCATTAGATGGTGCTATGTCCCTTACTGTTCACTGATTGCGCTTAGTGAATAGTAAATTTATTACAGATTTTCATGCCAGAAATGTTTTAGTTATATAAATAAATACTGTTCTTGGTGTTTTGTGGTCCGGTATTTGAAATTATCTAATTCCATGAAGGTTGCGATTAAAACATACAGTGTACAATGGGTTTCCTAGTGTTCTAATTTCCTCTTTGGGAACCAGTAAATTTCCATATGGGAATCAACAGTTAGTGTATGAGGTATGAGATCTAGTAAACTGTGTTTTTGTTGTAGTTGGAAAACATAATCTCATCCATAGTATTTAAGCAAAGATAAGCAGGTTTCCATAGTACTAGACTACACGTAGCTGTAAGTTATATGAAAAATCCTAAGATGACCATTTTTATAGTTTATGTTGATTTACTATAAACCAGTTTAGGATTTCACAAATTGAATACAATTAATCGTTAATTTAAATAACCCATAATGTCATTCAATAAGAAAAAGAAAAATCAGCGAAGATTTTCTTTTCGACGAAATCATTTACTTAAGCTGTACATTCGTATATATAGTTATATGGAAAATATGTCTATAGAGGGATAGAAAGGATTGTATCACAAAAATGACCTTTGTTGTTTGTCGTTTTTCTTCGTATCTGTCATTTGGACTATTATCCGACCCATAAATTCTGTTCTCTCTTAGCCCTTGATTAGTACGTTAACCTCATTTGTTGTTTAATCTCGAATCCATTATTGTGATACAATCCTTTCTATCCTTCTATAGACATACATTTTCCATATAACTATATATACGAATGTACAGCTTAAGTAAATGATTTCGTCGAAAAGAAAATCTTCGCTGATTTTCCTTCTTCTTAATCGTTAATTTAAACAAAATAAAATAGTTTAACTCGGAACTAAATAGTATTTAGATTTCTTCCTTGCCCTAGTTGTAATATCCATTTTGTTACACGTTATTCCACAATTAAATAATAGCAAATCTAATCTCCTGGTCTAAAGTGTGTGATAACAAAACTACTGCTAAGCTAATGTTGTTGACATGAAAATAGTTTATAGCTTGTAAATTAAAGACTACAGTCCGAGTTCATTCTTTACTGAGTTGATCTATATTGGTCTGTAGTTTCATTTAATTTAAACAACACAAAATTCTAAATGTTTAGAATTTCGTCGAACACATTGTATACTAAAGCTATAAGTTATGATTGGGTTTTGGATATCAGTTACCGGTGAATACTACAAATCGTTCTTCAACCTATTTTGGAATTTTCTGTTGGTTGTACTTAAATAGGTGTTGATATTCAAACTAAAACTCGACTCTAGTACCAATCTCATATAACACCAGCGCTACTTAACCAGGACACTTGCCACCTTTTCATCTAGAATATGTTTAAGCAGACACAGATGGTGGGATCCAGGACGCGCATTTCGTCCTAGTTGGAACTCGTCAGCTGGATGTGTTGTGAATGGGAACACAGGTGGGCACATCCTGTTGTATTTCCAATATAAAATTACAGAATATCTTGATAAAATATAAAAGCCATACACTGAATACTTCATTTGCAAGTTTATTTCATTTGTCCTTCACATTCTATGTGACTCTTCCTGTCCACAATTTCTTTATATTTTCACTTCTGTTCTCTTCAACTCGAACTTTTAGCTTTCTGCTGCAAGGCCCCTCACTTCCTATTGGTGTTACATACTACTTATGTCTGTCGACATACGACACAGTTGTACCTGGATCCCAGAGGTGATATTCACTCTGGGACTGGAACTTAGTACTATTTGCTTCAAACATTGTCGCGTTGCCCATTTAGCCATTGAGTCCAAATAGCAACTAGTTAGTGCAATGTGATGAATTTTAATTCATATGTATTGGGTTTTTTTAATCTTCAGATTGATGTTTTGGACTGCAATAGGAGGAAACGTGTTTTCAGTTCCACTGCTGGCCACCATCCCATTAAGCAACGAGTGATTTTTCAAAAAAATAGTTTTGTTGTTGATAATAACAGTACTAGTGTTTTATTTACTTTGGTTCTTGTAATTAAGCAGATAATCTTTGAAATTACATTACAGTAGCTAAATACATCAATCCATAATTAACATAACATGATAATTATTGTGATAACTGTTAATCGTGACACAATAGATAAATAACCTAATAGTTGCCCCCAAATGCCCTGGTACGGCCGAGAGTGGAGAGAGTCCGCTCTCCCTCTCGAAACGCTCTCACATGGACACGCTTATACAGCCTCTGTCAGGAAAGTTCTACTCACTGCCTTCTCGTGGCGGGGTGTTGTTTACGAAATTGAGAGGACAAAAAGCGAATGTTCGGCGCTTTAACCTGATTCCAAACCAATGGTGCACATGGGCTCCAGTATCCTGCGGGAACGAATGGCGTATGAACCAATCGTTGATCACCGGCTGCCATGGGACTGCATCTCCTTACGATGGTCCACTATCTTGTGAATCAGACCCTCAGGTCGAAGGCTCGGAGAGTGGCCCCCTAAGAAAACCACCTGCTTCGGTTTGGGCACCTGGCCAGTATCACAGCCCTCACACATATCGAATGAGATTTGTGTGGCGCATATGTATTTGGTGCCTCCTTGTACCAATATCTATGTGTTAAAATATATAAAAATATATAATAACCTGATAGTTAGATGGACAACACTGACCACGGACGTCAGGTTTACATCTGTTTCCTTAATGCAAATAAATATGTGTATAAATTATAGGATTCAGTCAAATCGTCTGATGACTCCATAAAGAATGATACCTTCCTATTTCCTGGTTTTTATGGACACAAATTCTGAGGAGTCCCACACTAGGACGAAACGACCATCCAGTGCTTTCAGATTTTCAATGGTGGTCTCACATTGATTGGTCAATAACCCTAATATAAACCACTAGAATACCTAGATTGTAATTTTTTAATGTTTATCATTTTATGAAAAATGAAACCTACTTTATCATGAAATAACACTGTGACTTCACAAATTGCATAATTTCCACCAGCGATCATTAATGCGCCAAGAAAATTATTCCATCCATCACTACGAAATTCGAATACCGGTAATTGTGCTCCAGTTAAAACAACTGGTTTATCTAAATTCTCTAACATAAATGATAAAGCTGATGCTGTATAAGCAAGTGTATCCGTCCCATGTAATACAACAAATCCATCGAATTCATTATAAAATGCGTAAATATCTTGTGCTATACGCTTCCATTCATTCATACTCAAATCAGATGAATCTAATAATGGCCAATATTCTACAACTGTATATAAAATACGATGTCCAGTTTTATCAATAGGTAAAGCATAAGTTTGTATATGGTCTGATTCAGTTAAACTGGATTCACGTTTTGAAAATTTTGAATGAGTACTACGTGTATGAGGTGAAACGTTAGTTTTTGATAGTCTGTGATGTAGGTGTTCAATGTTAAATTGGTTTATATGAACCTGAAATCTAAGCAGCAAAATAATAATAATAACAATATTGAGAATAATATAACACTATCTATGTGCAAACGATTAAAGATGTTAAAAAACATTTTCAACAATAAACATTTCAGTCAAATAATTCAGGTGTCTTGGTTTGTGTACTTACTTACTTACTTACGCCTGTTACTCCTCGTGAAGGAGCATAGGCCGCTCACCAGCATTCTCCATCCAACCCTGTCCTGGGCAATCCTTTCCAGCTCCTTCCAGTTGTAATTCATCCTTTTCATATCTGCTTCTATTATCCGACGTAATGTGTTCTTTGGCCTTCCTCTTTTCCGTTTCCCTTCAGGATTCCAAGTTAGGGCTTGTCTCGTGATACAGTTTGACGATTTGCGTAATGTATGTCCTATCCATTTCCATCGTCTTCTAATTTCCTCTTCAGCTGGAAGTTGGTTTGTTCTCTCCCACAGAAGGCTATTGCTGATGGTATCTGGCCAATGGATGTTGAGTATCTTGCGTAGACAGCTATTTATAAATACTTGTACTTTCTTGATTGTGGTTGTTGTAGTTCTCCAAGTTTCAGCTCCATACAGTAGAACTGCCTTGACGTTCGTATTGAAGATTCTCACTTTGATATTGGTTGAAAGTTGTTTTGAATTCCATATGTTCTTCAATTGTAGGAATGCGGCCCTTGCTTTGCCGATCCTCGCCTTTACGTCTGCATCTGAACCTCCTTGTCCATCGACGATGCTTCCCAGGTATGTGAAGGATTCTACATCTTCCAGAGTTTCGCCATCAAGAGTGATTGGATTGCTGTTTTCCGCTTTGAATTTGAGGACCTTCGTTTTCCCTTTGTGTATACTGAGGCCTACTGATGCAGAGACTGCTGCTACACTGGCTGTCTTCATCTGCATCTGTTCGTGTGTACGTGATATAAGAGCTAGGTCATCTGCGAAGTCCAGATCGTCTAATTGATTCTGAGCTGTCCATTGTATTCCGTGTTTTCCTTCAGATGTCGAGGTCTTCATAATCCAGTCGACCACCAGAAGAAAGAGAAAGGGAGAGAGTAAACAGCCTTGTCTGACCCCGGTCCTTACTTGGAATGCATCTGTCAGCTGTCCTCCATGCACGACCTTGCACTGTAGTCCGTCGTATGAGTTCCGGATAATATTGACAATCTTCTCAGGAACTCCGTAGTGTCGAAGAAGTTTCCATAATGTCCTCCTATCTACACTGTCAAATGCCTTTTCATAATCAATGAAGTTGATGTATAGTGACGAGTTCCACTCAACCGATTGTTCGACGATGATCCGTAGTGTTGCAATTTGGTCTGTCCACGACCGATCCTTACGGAATCCAGCTTGTTGATCTCGAAGTTGAGCGTCTACTGCATCCTTCATCCGGTTCAGCAAAACTCTGTTGAAGACCTTCCCTGGTATTGACAGTAGTGTTATGCCTCTGTAGTTTTCACATTTGCTCAGATCTCCTTTCTTTGGAATCTTGACGAGGTGCCCTTCTTTCCAGTCCATTGGCACTTGTTCCTCCTCCCAAATCTTTTTGAATAGAGGGTAAAGCATGCTTGTGGTTACTTCGACGTCTGATTTCAGTGCTTCAGCTGGTATGTTGTCGGGTCCTGCTGCTTTCCCGTTCTTGATTTGTCTGACGGCCGCTCTAATTTCTTCCGTCGTTGGTGGGTTGACATCTATAGGAAGATCTGTGTGTGCTGCTTCGATGTTCGGTGGATTCATAGGAGCCGGCCTATTCAGGAGTTCCTCAAAGTATTCTACCCATCTGTTACGCTGTTGTTGAATTTCAGTGATTGGCTTGCCTTCCTTGTCTTTGACCGGCCTCTCTGGTTTATTGTATTTCCCTGCTAGTTTCTTCGTTGTATCGTAAAGTTGTCTCATATTTCCTTCTCTAGCAGCTTTTTCTGCCGTCGTTGCTAATTCTTCCACGTATTTCTTCTTGTCAGCTCTAATGCTCCTCTTCACTTGCTTGTTTGCTTCTATGTATTCAGCTTGTGCTTGGACTTTCTCTGCTCGTGTTCGGCTGTTGTTTATTGCTGCCTTCTTGTTCTTCCTTTCTTTGATCTTGTCCAGTGTTTCTGTAGAGATCCATTCCTTATGATGGTATTTCTTTAGACCGAGAACCTCTTGACACGTTGAAGTTAATGCTTCTTTGATGCTTTTCCAGTTGTCCTCCATAGTAGTTTCTTCTTCTTTCAGTAGATCTTGTAAGGCTTGGAACCTGTTGTTGAGAGCTATCTTGAATTCATTGAGTTTGACAGTATCTCGAAGGAAGGCTGTATTGAACCTTTGTATTGCTGTTTGTCCACTTGTCCAGTTCTTTTTTAGCTAATGGAATTTAAATTCAAGTACAATAACGCATTTACATTTTCGAAAAGAGTAACACTTATGATCGAATGATAAATATCAATGTAAAATTAAATACACTTGTGTTAAAAAAGCGGGTAAGCTCGGGTTAGAATCTAAGTTACGACCAAATGTCTTACTCTGGTAAAAGTGCTGGAAACACTTTATGATAAACTGTTCATACTGCATTTAGTCACAACTTATCGTCATTCAATTTCTAGTCACCAAAAATCACAACCCACCTTAAAGTAGTTATTTAAGGTAACGATGGTGATGTCAATCGTTGTACGACAACATAAAGCGTGATTTTTATTATTTGCTTTGGTTTCAATCGTTAGAACAATACACCGGCAAGCTGGTCAAGGTAAGTCTTAAGCTTCAAAACTATTGCTCTAAACATCAGGGTGCATAATAACAGTTTATTAAGTAATTATCTTCAGATATTTCGATATTATTGGTTCAGTAAGCAAAAATATTTAGTTTCCCTTACACATAGAAACAATTAACTGCATAATGATGGACATAAACAGCTTCGTTACCAATGTTCCTAGTTTGTGGGAAACGTTTTGTATTCAAAATATAACTCAACAAGTTGGTTGATTGAACTATTTTGAACATATATTAATCACCTTTCAAATGATGACATTCTTGGGATTTTAGTTTAAAATGAACTGTCTGGCATTTGTATGATATTATGTACAAAGATTGTTGGCTTTCATGTACACAAATGGAGAGACATCAGAAATAACCGCAAAACATAGAATGTAACTTTATCAAAATCATTACACAATCATAACCTTGAAACAAAAATTCCATTAATTTGATTTTGAGCTAGATCAGCTGTATGTACGACTAACTAGTCTTAAATCCAAACAAAAATTGACCACAAAGCTTTACAATTTTATTATCCTTCATAACGTGAAATCAAACCAGTTTTGCTTTCCTAAAAAAAGAAACTGTCTTACTCCGAATCACAAAATGTAGGCATCTTGTATAGGGTGGAAAGAAAAAAGTTTTCCACAGAACAATAAGAACCATTTACACATTTCATTCCAATAGTACCACCGGTGTATAAAACAAGAACCCGGGAAACAGATAAACATTTCGAAATTTTCAATGCAAGATCAACTAATGACTGATCAATGATTGGGCTTCCCAAAAAACTGGCCTGAAGAGAAAACAAAGGAACATAAACACTAAGAACAATATATTAACTGCAAAAATATTTTTTTCTGTCGAACTGTTAATATTTATTTATTCATCTCTCCGAGTAAAAGATACAACATCCGAGAAATTACAGAGAAGACTAAATATCATTTACTGTTATATCTGTGACCACAAACTACTATGCTAAAATCTTTTTCTTTACTCTATTTATGCTTAGTTGGAGCTGAAATTCAGAACGAAAACGAGATCAAAATTCTTTGTATATAACTTAGAGATCATAAACAACCGTCCAAATAATTCATTTCCTCTCGATGGGCATTTTTAAGACTGTTTTGGTTCCAAATGCTTAGTTTTTATTAAACTATGGACGACTTAGAGACTCATTGTTTATCGATGATCGCAACCAAAACACATTTTACGACAAATATCTGTCGTAGGAAAATAGCAGAAATACATCAGAAACATTTCTTATTATTTATATATAAAACTTCTAAACAGAAATATTTGGATAGGCGTTTTTATACTCATAGATCTCAGGAGTGTTTTTCTAACTAAAGTAGATCAATCTATATTTACTCTCTGATAAACGTAACAGTTATCCTTCCATTCAGTTAAACTAGCTCAGCATTAAACAAACAATCATTGCTTTCATATGCAATCAAGTACTAAAATATCGCACATTGTCAAGACCTTAAAGGTAATGATAGAAATATATTATAGTAACTTGGTGTTAATCAACAATTACAGGATTGTTAGAATAGGAAGTTGTGGGGATTGAAGTAATTTTAATAGTTGAATTCATGAGTCTAGACCACCATTGAAAATCTAGAAGGCTCTTTCATTATTAATGTCTAGTTGAAGTCGACCCTTCGTCCATTATCTGAAGTTGATAACTGTCTCCACGCGACACGGATTCGACTTCTCACTAGAACTCCAGGAAATTCATCTGTAGGCCAGTCATTAGTGACATTGATACAGTTGGATGCCGACTCAGTGGTCTCGAGGTTAGACGTTCGAGTGCGAGACTGAAGGTGCTGTGTTCGGTTCCCGTGTGCAGGAGATCGTGGATGCGCACTTCCAGTGAGTCCCATACTAGTACTAGACGGTCGTCCAGTGCTTCCGGGTTTCCAGTAGTGGTCTAGCTTAGATTGATTCATGAATCCCATTATTAAAATTACAGGAATGTTGTTTTCTTAATCCCATACCCACCTATAACGCACAGGTAGCGTAACACCATTTATTAGGTGTACTAGTCCAGTATAACTGAAGAGTGGTTTTTTATACCCAAAATCATAGCTATAAATGTGCACTCATCCCATGAAAAAGTCATTTTTGTTTGACTCGCACTTAAAGACTGTCTTACTGACACCAATCAATTAATGAAAAAAACACTGTGAGTAAAAGTTTATAGATTAACAGATAAACTCACCACACCATCACTCAACTCCTCAGTTTTGTTTATTGTGGTAGATTTTCTTGTATCCTGCAAAGAGCTGCAAACTAGAAAAAAGTTTTTATTGTAAAAGTAACAAAACCTAACTCTATAGATTAAAGATAGTTGTATTTACATGGGCTAATTATTATATCACGTATCATAACCACAAACGGTGAGTTATGAGTATAATGTATCTTATAAAACTCAGAAGGTAGATTAAATGTATACCATGGTTGAATCCCACATAGTTGTTTCAAGTCAGTTAGATTTTCCACAAGACTCGACTGGGGCTTGAACGATATTTAAAAAATTTAACAGAATAAAGCTCAGGTAGTGTTATCACTTCTCATAGCTTGTCAAGTTTCACTATAAAATAACCAGTTATTTTTAACTACACACGATTTCGAACAAATCGTTGTTAATTTATCTTTTACTGATGACTTCCTGATCATTAATGGAGTACTTTTATACATGGTCAACTGCTCATACTTTGAACCAGATCAAGTTTTATCTATGATCAACTTAAAATTAGGCTGATATTATTTCTCACACTATATTTAGACTATTTACAATATTTTTGGTGTTACATGAGGCGACTAACATACGTGCAAAAATAGTCCCGTTTCAATCAGATTTTGACTACAAGTACAGGACTCTAACCTTGAAGTAGTGTCAACGAAATCATTTGTATTTTTAATCTTCATCGACGTGAAGCGGGATGTAATTCCAAATCATGCAGTTTTACTTGAAATTTTAGGTAAAAACGATGCATTTTTAATTTTTCCACGAAGTTTCGAACATGAAAACCGAAGACTTAAAGCAGTTACTGGTTCAGCAAAATTCAATAAAAATGATCAAAATGGTTAGACATAAACGGTCAGACAATAGTAAGTGAAGTAATATAAATACATAAATATTGGAAATTATATATTGATACTAAACATGAATCTTTTTTTAAAGATCGATTAACTTTGATTTCAAAGCTATGTAGACAATGAACATAGTAAACTTATTTTCCCGATCTAATAAAGATGAGCTTAGCACATGAAATATTTAGGATTAACTCATGAGACAATTTGCAGACAAGACAA